GTCCCTCCGCAATCGCAATTTGTTTCAGATTTTTTAAATGTTTTCCAACGGTTCAGTTCCAAAATTCAAATTCAAATTCACACCATTTCAAAACATTCCACTGAAGAAAAAATCCCCAAAGTCCTTTTTCAAAACATTCCACTGAAGAAAAAATCCCCAAAGTCCTTGAACATCCTCAAATAATTTCCCACTCACCAAAATCCTTCTCCCCATCCCCCAAACCTCCCTCAAAACCCGCTAATCAAATCAATTTTCAAATCAACTTTCAAAAATTGAAAAACCCGTCGAGTGTCGCCCCCTCTCGCGTCCCTCCCCAATCGCCGCAATTCGCCTCCCCTCGGGGCTCGCCGAACGCGCCAGTGGCGCTCACCTCTCCGGCGCACAATTCCCCCTCCCTTCCCCCGACGCCGCCGTCAACGCTCCTCACAGCTCCCAGTCTCCACTCTCCAGTACTTGTCATGCTTTGGGGGTGTGCGGGTCAGTGATGGCGGCGACAGTGCGGTTGAAGATGCAATGCGGCACGATAATACCCCTGTTTTTCCTTATTTACATTCTGTGCTACACAAACATTGTGAGTGGCATGTTGTTCGAGCATCACCAGTGCAGTCATCAGCATCCGAAGGCGCACGAGGTGAGTGACCCCCGCATAATCTCGCACTTTCGGTGAAAACAAGGGGTTGAGGGCTTGAGTATAACCTCTTTTTTTCGTCTCCCTTCGGCTTTTTATCCCTTCCGCCTCTCTCGTCGTCCGTTTTCCCCCGTAATCCCGAGGGCCGAACAATAGCCGGCGATTTTCGTCTCATTATCCTGTCGATGTGCCCAAAAATCCCCCGAAAAACGCCGACAAAACCTCCCGTGCCCTTTTGACATTTTTTTTTTCAATGAAAACATCATTTCGCCTGCCGTAATTTCGTGTTTACATTCGGAATGCCCTCGCCACAACGTGACACCGGCCCTTCTTTCATCCGGAAATTACCGCGTGTGTAGGGCAATTCGGAGTGTCACGTGACAGCTCCTCTCGACTCTGTTTACGTGCATTTACCTGTGTTTACTATCGCGTCGGGTTGAAAAATGAGATCATTCATGAGTTATTTAGGGGACAGAGGGTTCGGGGGACTTTATTGGGTGTTACAGCGGAGTGGAACGGGGAATCCTCGGGCTTGACCCCGCGTGAACACTTTTCCCTGAATTTCTATGGAAACTTGTTCGTTGCGGACGGCTTCTTCTTATTTGGAATCACCGACACGGTAGTGAAAGTTTTTTGTTGGGTGGATTGTATTGGTTGTCTGCGTGGTGACAGAGTAGAAAAGATGGAGCGATGTATTTGTAGACAATTGTTACACGAGTGGGAGACAGTATCTCGTGGTGATGGCCGGCGGATTTAGGACGGGAAGGGGACGTCGAGGGGGTCTTGAGGTCGATTTGGTGAATGGGTTTTTAGGGATTTGTTTTTGTGGAAATGAGGTTTTTATCTGTAATTGGGGGTGGTACATGTTGAATGGAACAGTTTTTAGTTTGGGGGAATTCATTTGTTGTTTTCGACACTAATGCATTTTGTAATACTCTTGCATTTTGTTATTTTGTTGTTTTAAGAATATTTCATTGATTTCATCTAATCAGTTCATTATAGTAATTCGTTTATTAAGAGAGAGGAGGAGTAATTGATTTGATTAAAATATCTGTGGCTTGTGGATGTCTGGAAATCGTCGTTAAAAATTCAATTCAATGAGGAATTATTTCCATGAACATGTCTTAATTTATATGAAATAAATAATTTATTTATTCGGGAATCAAATGGACAATTCATTTGATGAGAACAATTAATTATTGAAGGTTGACAAAATTCTTGTTGGGAATTCATTAGTTCTTTTCAACTGAAATCTTGCATTTTGTTGTTTTAAGAATATTTTATTGAATTCATGCAATCAATTTACTGTATTAATTCGTTTATTAGGAGAGAGGACGAGTAAGTGATTCAATTAAAAAATATGTGCCTTGTGAATGTCTGAGAATTGTCATTAGAAATTCAATTCAATGAGGAATTATTTTGATGGAAATGTTTTAATTAGTGTGGAACAAAAAAATCACTCATTCGAGAATCAGATGACCGATTCATTTAATGAGAACAATGAATTATTGAATCGTGATAAATTTATTTCTGAGAATACGTTAATTGTTTTCAACTTGAATGTTGAATTTTCCTTTTTTTCACAATTTTTTTCTTTTGAGAATATTTTGTTGATTTCATTTAATCAATTTACTATATTGATAACAATCTGTGAATGTCTGAAAATTATTGTTAAATCTTCAGTTTCAAAAGAAATAATTCCCATGAAAATATTTCAATTGTATGAAGTAAATAGTTTATCCATTCAGGAATGAAATGGACGATTTATTTGATCAGAACAATTCATTATTGAATGTTGAAAAAATTCTTGTTAGAAATTCATTAATTCTTTTAAAAATATTCGGTGAATTTTAACCAATTACAAATCAAAATTCGCTTCATTTGTTTCTTGTGAATATTAATAATATCTCATCAAATATTCTAGAATGAATAATTAATTTAATTGGAAAATCTGAGGGTTGATAATTATTCCGATGAAAACGTGTTAATTGTATAAAATAAATAATCAGTTCATTCATTTCATTCAAATTAAGCATCTGATCAATAATTTCATTTCTATCGAATGAAGCCTTCGTTTTTATACAAAAAAATCTGTTAATTTTTTTAACTCCTCACTAAAAACGCCAACAAAGCTCTAATTAAAACAAATTTCATTTCGCACTGCAAACACCACGAATGACAATCAGTAACAACAAATAATGAAATTTTTGACTGAACAATAATCGCGCAGTGTGTCTCGTTGGAATGCATATTACGTTCGTACGGCTGGGCGCGTGTCATGCACGAAATTTCACGCGCTCCTTATAACCGGAATCAACCAACCCCATTTGAGACAAGGTATATGAATCGCGTAGGCTGCATTACTGGTCGAAATGCATGAATGATATTAATTACGACGTGAGAATTCTAATGTATGTTAAATTCATTCCAACCGGCTCTTGATTGCATTTTCATGGGTTTAATTTGAGGTGTGATTAACGAACGATATTTATATTCATTATGAAAATCAAGTTTTATGCATTAACAGGGGGTGGGTGGTGGGGGGGGGGAAGAGGGGAACATCGATCCTGCCATTAGCCGGGGTAAAAACACATTCGCGTGGAGATGACAAATATTGTGGCAGATATGAGAGTTGGCTGAGTGAGTGCATCCGGTTCTTTTAGCTTTGATTACTTTTCATTTATCATATGCCTCCCATATCCAGCGGTGCATCAACATAATAGCTTCTGTGTTACACGCTCCGATTGCCACTCTGTAATTATGCCGTTACGTTTTGATGGATTCCGGACTGAAATCAGCGGATTATGGGGTAAATATTGGCCCTGTGAGTTTAAAGAAAATTTTCGCTTGAGGTGAATTGATTTTTCTCGGTGAATTTCAGAATTTTATTTGAGTGAGATACTTTTTCTCATTCACAGCNGGGGGGGGGGGGGGGGGAAGAGGGGAACATCGATCCTGCCATTAGCCGGGGTAAAAACACATTCGCGTGGAGATGACAAATATTGTGGCAGATATGAGAGTTGGCTGAGTGAGTGCATCCGGTTCTTTTAGCTTTGATTACTTTTCATTTATCATATGCCTCCCATATCCAGCGGTGCATCAACATAATAGCTTCTGTGTTACACGCTCCGATTGCCACTCTGTAATTATGCCGTTACGTTTTGATGGATTCCGGACTGAAATCAGCGGATTATGGGGTAAATATTGGCCCTGTGAGTTTAAAGAAAATTTTCGCTTGAGGTGAATTGATTTTTCTCGGTGAATTTCAGAATTTTATTTGAGTGAGATACTTTTTCTCATTCACAGCAAAAACGAATGGCTGAATTTCATACGACTTTTGTAGACATTTTTCAGGCACTGAAAATTGTCTGAGTAAAATGAGAATTTGTCTGAATGCCCAAACATTTTAATTCAGGTTTGAAATTCACAGAAATTTTCATTTTATTCAGACGTTTTTAGTGTCTGAAAAATGTCTGCGGGTGTGTGAAATTCCTGTTGACGCCATGAATTGTTAAACTGTGGGGATCATTTCATGAAAATTGCATCTAAATTTTAATGCCATGAATTATTTAAAAAAAAATGAAATTAATTATCAATTCTTTCTGTTAATTCTTTGCCGAACATAAAAGCTTTCCTTTGAGTCCCACTTGACCCTAACTTTCCTTACATTTCAAAACGTCTAAATAAATAATAATAATCCTAAACAAAATTATCAATCAACAACTAAATGACAGCAATTAATATTTATCATCGTAATCACGTTCATTTTTCCAATTAAAATATTTCAATTGAACCAGCGATGCGTCCCACACATCAGCATCGCAACAATTCATTAGCGCTTCCCAATGCTGAAATGAAAGAAAATCACCGGAACAACAAAAATATTAATTGAAAACCAGCTGGCAGGCCAGAGGCCCGATTTTTCCGGGGAAAGTTGGAATAAAAATGCCGCAATCGGAGAATGCGGGTTCAATTTTTCAAAAATGCCGGAAGGCAATACGGATGTCTATTAAATTTCCGCTTTTGATTTTATTTTTTTTTTCGACCGTGGTTTTTGCGGTCGCTGAGCGTTTCATTGCGCTGCAGACGCGACGCAGCGGTGAATCGCATACTATCGCCGGCGAAAGGGAGAGGGAATCCAAGTGAGAAAACGCGTAACGGCGAGCGTGAGGGAGGCAAAGTTATTCGATTAATTTCACGTTCGTTCAGTTATGATATCGGAGAACCTGACGCTTTCAATTTGGCCGGGTTGCCAGCAATGAAAAGTTCAAAAACGTTACACGTCCGGTGTTTTGGACATTTTGCATGATGTACACTCGTTTCTTTCGAACGATTTCTGAATGACACACGTCGTTTTCGGGGGCAACGACATGGCATGGGGCATTTTGGAAGGGGAATTAATTCTTGTGAAATTGCAGACCTTGCGGATGGTTTTATTTCTGTTTGATTCAGCAATTTTTGCGGGATGAAATGGCATTTGAATGTTTTTGTTTGAGGCTTTTCAAGTATCTTTCACAGTTTGGTACAATAGAGAGAAATTTATTTTTAAATCATGAATATTCAGCGTCGTTAAAATTACATTTTGCCCAGAATTATTATTTTTCGAAAAATTCATTGTTTAGGTATACATAACTGAAATTGTTTAAACTTTCCAAAACCTCATTTTTTAGGCATTAAATGTATTTCCGATAAAATTCTGAATATGAATAAATTTCGTTGCGGTTATAAATTATTTATAGAAAATGCTCGCAATTTTAAAATTATTTCATCAGTTTTCATTCAAAAGTAAACTTTACAATTTTTTTCGGATTTCTAAAATGTTTTTTGCAAAGTTTAAATAATAAAATAATTGTAAAATGTCCGGAAATTTAGGGTCAAATGGGCCTCAACTGAAAGCTCTGATTTTCGATTACAAAAGTAGAAAATTATTTCACTGGAGAAAAATAGCCAAAGTATTTGGATACAGGGATGACCATCAATCTTCCGATTCTTCAATATTAGAA